AATAGGAAGTGCTCGGGCAGGTTGAAGAAATGATGTTTGCAGTGATTTCCAGAACTGCTCTAGTGGATTATCTTTTTAAGGGAAGAAAGCAGCTGTACTACTGAAAGTAACTTCCCTGACTTGCCAGTTCCCTATCCTTTTGCAATGGTTTTAAAGAAAACATATTTCTTGTATAAATCCCATATTTTATATATATATATAATTTCTCTCTCTCTCTCTCTCTCTATATATATATATATATATAGAGAGAGAGAGAGAGAGAGAGAGAGAGAGTTTGTTTTTTGGAGATGGGGGTCTTGGTCTGCAGCCCAGGCAGTGTTCAACTGCTGAACTCAAGAAGTTCTCCCACTTCAGCCTTCTAAATAGCTGGGACTACAGGCATGTACCACATAACCTGGCTTAAACTGCATTTTAATTTATTTATTTGTATTTTTATTGTTTAGATATAGAGTCATATTCTGTGGCCCAGATTGGAGTGCAGTTGTGAGATCTGAATGTACTGTAGCCTTGAACTCTTGATCTTCTTGCCTCAGCCTGCCAAAGTCCTGAAATTATAGGTATGAGCTACCATGCTTGGTCCTCATTTTAATTTAAGTACCTGGAATGTTTTCTGTTCTCACATTAGTTTTTATTTCCATATTAATCAATTTTGGAAATTAATAGTTGACTTTTAATTCATGCATAATTTATTTTTGGATTGCTTAGCAAAGTCAAATATCCCAAGCCTATCTGTTAAGGTCACCTTTAAATTAAAATAAACAACAAAAAACATAAACAACTAAGATCCTTTCTAACTTTCAAAATGTGGTGAGTGACAGGTGAGATCTATTTATAAAATCTTTATTTTACTCAGTATGTCAGTGATTTTCAAGCCTTTGAGCAGATTGCAATCACTTGCATGATTTATTACAACAAATTTCAGGACTCCATTCTCAGATTCAAGTTCTATAGGTTTGGAATGGAGAGCAAGAATTTGAATTTCTAATGAATTCCTGGGTGATGCTGATGCTATGGGTTCATGGATGACATTTGAAGTTCCCTTTGTGCTATATATTTAATACTTTACTGGTTTCTCCTTCTGCTCAAATATTGTCAACAAAGGAAAAAACATCAAGCTTTGAAGGAATTAGTTTCATTCAGAAGTCATCTGAAAACTGTAGACTGAAGCCTACAACAGGAGCAACCCTTTAAAGAGGTTCTATTAGGCTGTTTCAGGCTGTACTCCTCAGTAAAACTTCTGAATAAAACTAATTTTACCTCTTTTAAAACTTTTTTAGTTGACAATATTTAATAAACTATTTTACATTTTTATCAATTCTTACATTTTTGTTTTCTTTTCTAAGTCAGACTTACTACTTGTCACTAAGTTCTCAAAGTCTCCTCAGCTAGTTCATTGTCCCAAGTCTAATGATTTCAGATATAAATCTTTTTTTTGTTAGATAATAATTATTTTTATAACACAGGCTGCTAGGCATGCAAAAATATGAAATTCTCAGATTAAATAAGAATTTTAAAATTATTCATAATTCTCCACCCACTGTGGGAGCTTTTCTGTCCTCTCAATAAATCCTGCTTTCTAAAAAAAAAAAAATATATATATATATACATATTCATATTGAAAAAAATAGGCATGAGAACAAAACAAAATACAAAAAATTCCATTTGAAAGTCAAGTGTATGTGTACCTTTGTGTGTGTGTGTGTGTGTGTGTGTGTGTGTGTTTTCAAATTTGACCCTAATATACTTTGACATCTCTCCCATTAAACCTAAACTTTATGATTGTTCTTCAAAGATGTGTTTACTCGAAGCCAAAGCAATTATTTCAATTGATCTATTTAGTTCAATAATAAAGTTAACTAGGTGGTCCTATGAGGAAGTGATTATTCCTGAGAGTGTGCAATTTGACCAGTAAGAGTTCAATATCGTTTAAGAAAGTTACCTAATTGACATTTTTAAAAATAGATTCTATTTTCTTTTCAAGGTGGAACAGAACAAAATGATCGCAAAATGATCCACTTTGTTGACAGAGTCGATAGATTGTAACATTTAAAACATAATCCTTAACCCTCTAATCTATCATTTGTTCATTGCCACACAGACAATAAATTAATGTCTCTCAGTCCTTTTCTCTAAATACTATACAGATATTTGATAATTAGTAATTAGAATTATTTATATATGTTCTGATGACTAAATGAGTAGATACAAAATATTTAGATAATTTGATTAAAAAAAAGTTACTAGATGAATATCCAATATAATCACACAAGAGGATTTTAAGTATTTTCTGGTTTCTACAATTTATTTTCTATTTATAAGAAGAACATATAGAAATTTATAAACATAGACATGTAAACATACAGAAATTTAATAATGTATCTTGTGTGTATGCTATGTTAGCTTGCAAACATATTTTATCTCAAGTAATATTATAGTATTTAAAAATTATATGATTTGTCAAATTTAGCACTCATATTTAAATTATATTCTGAATGTCTTGAAAAATTATATATCTGGGGAAACAACCTTAATGCTGGATTCCCACTTGACTGCAGTCACTTGGAGCTGCTTCCTCAGAGAATCTTAGTTCTCCAATTCATTGTCTGTAGACAATTCAATTATTTTCATAATTGTCTGAACTTTCTGAGTAGTATTTATGTTTTGAAGCATAAATGAATCATAAATATTTTAAGTAAATTTTCCTAAAAGCAGAGCCTGGGACAAGAATCCAATTACTGGATTTGTTGAAGAAGAACTCTTCAGAAAAAGGGAAGATGTGAAGCAAATTTGGCAAATGGGAGAGAGTTAAGCAGAGCAAGAATATGGTTTCAGGTAAAGTCTAATCTTGGTTCTATCCATAGAGAGACCACCTGGAGCATAAACCACACCAGGAAGTTACCTTTGCTGGGGTCTGGATCAGTCCTTTGTATCCCTGCATCAGGCAGCCATTGACTAAGGACTGTTGATGGGAGTGGAAATTCAGAGAGGCCCCTCTATTCAGCAAAGGACAATTCTTCAGAGAATAAGTACTGGTGGGATCATGGTTTCTTTCTTTATAACTTTAATACAATGCCGTGTAGTTCACTGTAGTTCCATGTAGCGTGTAAGAGCCCAGACATAGAAACAAATGCCTGAATTAAAATTGAAACTCTACTGCTTAGGGATTGTTAGGGGAAGGCTAATTAACCTTTTGTGTCATACATTTTCTACATGAAAAAACACAAATAATATTAGAATTTTTAAAATAATCATAGGCAGTGATAAAGGTAAAATAAAATCTTAGTTGTTAAAATTTCAAAACTATGTGTTGAGTTAAGCACTACAGGAATTTTGTCCATTATAATTTATTATTGTCAGTTATTTATGAACATATGTAAGACTATAGGTAAATAAAGATAGAGTAGATTAGGTATCTCCCAGCAAAATTAAAGCAACACTCAACATGCTTTCATTTAAATTCTTTACAATAACTATATTAGCTGTCTTTCTATTCCATAAATATAATTTTAGATAATTTCTCATGGACTATAACTTTGGTTATTTTCTAATTTATTTATTTAGAACAGTTGCAATGAAATGTATATTTTTATATACATGTATATATAATTATTATAAAAGCAAAATGTTATTATTTGAATCAAATACCTACAAAAGGATTTTCTATGTTTAAAGAAAGATATTTTTTAAAGTTTTTGTTGACTTTTACTAAAAATTTTGGAATATTGAACAATGCTTTACTGCAATTAAATGTATATCAGAATGTTTGTCTCTTTTCAAAATATAGATCTCTGCTTTTATGTGTCAATGCAAATTTAAAAAAAGAAAAAATACACATCTTCATATTTTTTCTTTTCTTTTTTACTATGGTGATGTTAAATAATTTCCTATGGCTTCTACCTTATATAAATTTAAAAACTTTCTAGTTCTGCTCTTAATATAGCAGTATCTTTTCAGGTTAAATCTTTTTAAAAGATTTATATTAATTATTATTATATATTCCTTATTGTAACATTTTTGATAACTTCACAAAAGAAAAAAAAGTTAATTACATATTCCCTACCTGGTAACTAACTGTTTTTCTCTTTTCTTTAACTGCATATTTCTTTCAATATATTTTTAGACTCAATATGTCTAGTTTCTAACTTCCATTATCATTGTGTATGCAAGCATAAATATGATTTTTCACTTTTCATTGCAAAAGAGTATAAAAGAACATTAAATGTTAAAGTATACCTAAATGTATTTAGGATTAATTAAACACATGTAATTACTGTATGAAAAAAGTAACAGAAGATTATCAGGAACTAAAGCAATTCACATATATCATTTCATTATAACTCCTCTTTCAACCTCTTCTGACATCTATGTATTCATTCATAGCCTTCTTGTCTTTAGAATTTCTCACCTTTGTATTTACACCTAAAAGTACAGTTTCCTATTACTTGTTGATAGCCTTTACCTTGAGAAAAGTTTTGTGTTTCTTAAAGCTTGTGTTTCTTCGATCCTGGCTAATTTGATTAAATTGCATCAGTGAAATTTTAAAAGTAATTCTATTTTTTTTAATTGGCATATAATAGATACTCATTTTACTTTTACATTATGAATCCATGAACATTCGTGTTGTGTCTAAGTTATTAGCTACAATAGTTCAGTTATGCAGAACTTTCTTATACATGTTTCTTGATGCAGATAAGCATACACATTTATGAATATATATGTGTTCAACATCAGCTGGTATTCCTAAACTTTCTTAGAGATTTTTACAAAATAGCTGCCATAATTTAACATACTGTTTCACCAAAACATGTATTGATCTACATCACTATAAATTATTTATTCATACTTTCAATCATTTGAATTTTAGACATAGGCTCACAGCATTTAAACGCATAATTTCCTGATACGTAATGGCATTGAAGCCCTTTTCATATTAGACTATGGGATTTTTGTTAAGTAGATGATTACCCCTTTTCCCTGGCAGACAGCGCGGAGGCCACAGGATGCCCGGAGTTACTGTAAAAGACGTAAACACATCAGGAGTTCGTCAGAGCTCTGGCAGTCTTCCTCAAAAAGTCCAAGAAGCTGAAAGATCCCAAATGGGTGGACACGGTCAAGCTGGTCAAGTATAAAGAGCTTGCTCCCTGCGATGAGAACTGGTTCTACATGCGAGCTGCTTCCACAGCACAGCCCCTGTACCTTCGGGTCGGTGGTGCTGGGGTTGGCTCCATGACCAAGATCCACGGGGGACGAGGTCAGAGAAAAGGCATCATGATGCCCAGCCACTTCTGCCGAGCCTCCAAGAGTGTAGCCCACCGGGTCCTTCAAACCCTGGAGGGGCTGAAAATGGTGGATAAGGACCAAGATGGGGGCCGCAAACCGACACCTCAGGGACAGAGAGATCTGGACAGAATCTCCGGACAGGTGGCAGCTGCCAACAAGAAGCATTAGCACAAACGATGCTGGGTTAATAAATTGCCTCATTCGTTTAAAAAAAAAAAAAAAAAGTAATATTTTAACTACATAAGTTGCAAAAATATTCTCAAAAAATATAGTTTTCATTTTTACTCTCTGCTGGAGTCTTTTGATGATGTTTTAGCTGATTAATAGCTTCGTTTGTGGACATTACTTTTCTGTATATTGGTTTAAAAAGCTGCATACATGTCAAAATATATGTTACATATTGTAATATACAATTTAGAACTGAATTTAAACAGACAATTCACTTAGAATTTTTTGCAGGGGGAAAATAGGCGTTGAGTTTCATTGTTTCTATATATGAATAATCAAAGACTCAGTAACTTTTATTTAGAGTACTTTGTCTACTGTTTTATTTGCTAATTTAATTGTTATCCATTTCCCAATTTATGCTGCCTCATGTAGTTCAGATTTACAATAAGTGATATCTGAAAAAAAATTCTTTTGTATTCTCTTCTTTAAAAAAAGTATTGAGTTCATTCTCATCCCCTTGGCCCCATATATGTTTTAAAATCTACCTGTTAAAATTTTTGCTAGGTATGAATTGACTTGATTAATTTGGAGACAATGAGCATTATTCTAATGTTAAATCTTGCAATCTATATGTGTGGCATTCCCTTCTTGTTAACTAAGTAATTTTTTCTTTTTTTAACCTTAATTTATCTTATTAGTTTTATAATTTTCAGTTTATGTATTTCTGTTATTTTGTTAAACATTTTTGTGGGTGTTTTATAGATTTTTCTGAAATTAAAATTTATATCTATTTTCATTGCTGCAGTGCATGTGGTTTATAAAAACTTAATCAAATTCTTTATATTGTCCTTGTATCCTACAAAATTTCTGAACTCAGTTATATGTTCTTAAATTTACTAATTAGTTATTGTGAGTGTTTTTCAATTTCATGATCTATATCATTATGAAAAAATGAAGCTCCCATTTTAAAATTTATTTTATAACATCATTTATTTATCTTGCATCACTACACTACCTTGAATTCCCAATTCAGTATTAAATTTAAGTTATGACAGTTGATATATTTCTCTTTATTATTCTCCTTGGAATGCATCACCTTCATCTTATAAAACCAAAAATTTGACTTTGTCTTTTCTAGTATCCTTCCATTTCATTAGTTTTTGTTTTTCTTTATTAGTTTGCTCCTTTTATAAGTTTTTCTAACTTCTTAATGTGAATCTTAGTTCAATAACTTAAAACTATTTTTTGCTAATATTTGCTTCTACAATTACATAATTTATTTTGACAGAACTGTATAATGTTCATGTGCATTTTTATCACCTAGAATAGTTAAATTATTTTAGAATGTTAATTAGAATATTTTGATTAATGGGTTTTCAATAAAATATTTTGTTAACGTACCAAATTATAGGTCTTTTCTAGTTATTTCTTGGTTGCTAATCAAAAACAAATTTATATGAGTCCTAAAAAATGAGTTGAAACTTACTTTATGGCACTTACTTTATGTAATATGATTACATTTTTTAAAATTTCCTTTATTTGTTTAAGTGTATATCTATTCGTATTATATCTGTTTCTTCAAGTTGTTTTTCTTCAAATTTCTGAAGCTATGTTAAAAGGCAAATACAAATTTAGAATGTTGTATCTTGTCATAATATTACTAATATTATTTTCTGAGAAAATATATCATTTATAAATATAGAGAATGAGTAGAGTTGTATTTCAATTGGTATTTTTATTATATTTTTATGTACTACAGTAAACATTGGACACTTTAACTCCATTATCCCATCTTTGCAAATACTCATCATGTTCTATAATTTGATTAAACATACAGCTTATGTCCCATATGGCAGTTTTATTAATTATTTACTGATCTTGTATACCTATATGCACATTAGTTTCCTAAACAATATGGTCTTGAAAATTTCTCAAAATTATATTTTTATGCATTTGCTATGAAAATCTGTTTACATCTTGTTGATTCCGTATTTACAAAATTATTCGAGATAATTATATTTATTAATTGTATAGATTAATGTCTTTCACTAATTTTTGAAAACTTTCAGCTGTTATCTCTTAGCATATGACTTTCACCACATCATCTATTTTGTTTCTTACTAGGTATCAAATTTTATGTATATTAAGTCCTCTGTAACCTTCTATAACTGTCTCTTAATTTTTATCTGATCGAGAATCAGCTCAAAATTACCTGAAGAGAATGTTTCTTATAAACTTACTTATAAAAAAGTTTAAATTTTCCCAATATAGCTTTTTTTTTTTTAAACTGGTTATTAGCTCCCAATCTAGCTTCAATTCTAGGAGGACAAAGATTTAAGAAGGCCTGAGAAAGTAACAATCATCACAAAATATATATAGGTTGGATAATATTTTAGATCAAAAGACAATTACATGATAAGTATTTCAAGCAACCATGTTATATTTCAATTCTGCCACTTAATAAATTTGTGCTATTAGCAAATCACTTACTGTTTGAGCTCCAGTTTTTTAAAATCTGTAACAGTGAGATTAATAACTACAGCAATTATCATGATAAGTTTTACAATAACCGATACTGATATTATTCAATAAAAATTTTCTCATATATGTAAAGCTTTATTCAATTTTGCCCAACACTCGTATAATATTATATAAGCATACACTGAGAAAATTATCATTTAACAAATTTTAAGATGTGATCAAACTTTACTTTCCTATCTTAGAGTTGTAGGTTATTTTTTAGAAAGTATTAGTTTTAACGATCTCATCAAATTATTTCAGATGGTTTAAAAAGCTAGATTGAAAAGCACAATCCTAAAAAGGAAAAAAAGTGCTAGATTATTTTGAAAAGTCTAATCTTAGCGGTTTCATGGACTTCACAAGTATATGCCTATATGATGGGCAGCTCAATAACATGTTTCATGCTTTTATCTATTTTTATGTCCCAAACATTATCATTCTAAGCAGGTTTTTTTCAGCAGTGTTTTCAGAGTTATTTTTTAGGTCAAAATAATAGTGCTCAGAAATTTGAAACTGCATCTTAACCCAAAAGCTCTATTAACATTACCCATTTTTGTAGAGTAAAACCTCTGCAAAACAAATCTAGGTTGCTATTAAAACTAGACTCCCTTTCAGTGTTTTCTTGTTTGTTGCCTTGAAAATAATAGAAAGTTTGTCATAATAGAAATGGGGGGGAGCTTGTGATTATTATTCTGCAAGTTATTATCAGTCGAATAAAAGCAATAAGAATATACCACAGGGAAAAATAAGATTTATCTGCTTAGTAGTCATGTGACACCTGTTGTTTTAATGGCATAGTATAACACCAACAAGGAAAAGTATTTTGTGGTGACCATCTTAATTAATTTCTTTTTGGTCAGGTTATATTCCTTTACAAATTTTAAACCAGCAGCATTAGAATACTTAAAATTAATTATAATAGTTCACGTTATTTACTACTCATTTAAAATGCAAACTATTGTAATCATTGAATTCTTTCCATGTAAATATCCCATGCTGAGAAATTCTATTTCTAACAATATGATTATCCTTATGAAAATTATTAAATATATTGAAACATATAGTACACAGTACAAATATTACAGTATATGTGACCATGCACATTTACATATACTCATGCGAATAGCTGGTATTTGAGTTTAACAGACAGCACAATTTTAATTGTTTCATGCCTATCAGCAATCAATTAATAATAAATGTCTACAGTGGAAAATGTTCTCAATTTGGAAAGCCACACAGTTCAGAATCAGTTTAAAGTATGTCAAAAATCAGAAAAGTTAGAAGTATTTTTTATTCATTATTTCAAGAAAATAGATTTCAATGACACGAATAAAATCTATTTCAATAATGATTTAATAAAAGATAAAAGTAAACCATTATTGACATAGGCACTGCCTTATTTGCCAACTAATGATTCCAATGTGGCAGCAATTGAGGCAAAATTTTCCACTTATTTCAATTCTCATTGTCTGAAGTATATTTACATTTGTCTACTTGCATTTTAAGTTCTGTAATACCGTTTTCTTTTTTCCTTTTGATACCTTTCCATAGCTTCTTGCCTTGAAATGGTATTTTCTTTTTTTTTTTTTTTTTTTTTTTTTTTG